TTTTGGAATTATGAGACTGTAAGGGAAAAATGGATCAATCCATAGATAATATAAAAAGCATCTATGTGTTATACATAGTACATGTGTCTTTGTGATATGAGTGGGGTAAGCTTAAGAAAATTACAGATGTGTCCTTGTTGGTCCTTCCCAACTCCCTACATAGTACATGTGTGTTTGTGATATGAGTGGGGAGTAGTACTTGTTTAATGAAATGGGCCCCAATACAGTACAACTTGTATTACCTTTGGTACATCTATTTGATGTTGTGTTAGTCCCATTAACTTCCACTTCTATATAGGCTAGATGGTAATGGCCCGTGCAAGCACGGGCCCAACATGATTATTAAAATTAAATCTGTAGATTTTGCTTATTTCTTTGACATATTGTTGTCTTGGGTACTAATGTGATGTCATAAATTTCAACGTATCATCTTATTCTTAGTTTTGAAACAATGATATGGAATTTTTCAGGCCTCATGCCATAACCATTTTACTCATAAGGTAGAGCTTGACTTCGTGTTTGAATTTTGAATCTAAGTTGGCATTTGTATTCCGTTGTCTTTTACTTGGATCTGCCTTGATACCTTTAGACACTTCAGTCTAGATAGTAATGTTTATAGGTTTATTTTCAGCTCTTTTGAACACCAAACAGAAGAGACAAAAAGAAGAAATGAAGTGAATAGAAATACATATATGGGCATAAACTAAAAGGAGAGGCTGTTTTATGGTTAAGACCTAATACATGTACTTGTCAAAAAGTCAACTCCACATTGTCTGCAGTGCACACTACACTGGTGAACAATGCTTCACCATTTCATTAAGGCCAAAGACTTCAGTCCACTAATAACAGAACATATTGCTTCACCAATATTTTTCTAGGGCATCTTGGTCATTCTTATACCTGAAAAGTAAGAAATAAAGGCATCTTGGTCATTCTTATACTTGAAAAGTAAGAAATAAATGATGACAAATTGAACCAATGTGCGCAATACCAGTACTTGTACTATCGCAAACAATGTAGTCGACTAATCATGTTTCCATCTTCATCTTACCATTAGTGCAAAACACATATTTGTACCTATATCAGAAAAGAGTATTGTAGGCAAAAGCTGCTGATTTAGTTGACTCAGTTTATTTGCATACTACTAAAATTACCATAAAAAATGGTTAAAATTACCATTATTTATTTATTATTATTAATTATTTAACCCTCCCTAGGAGCTCCTACCACTTTTGCTCCCTTGGTGACTCGTTGGAAGTGAGGGGTGCTTACCATTCGAGCAACTCCCTTGGAAGTGAGGGGTGCTTACTATCCGAGTAACTCCCTCTCATCAAAATTACCATTATTTGACTACAGATTGCAAGTATTTTGTGGGAGTAGCAATGTAACACAAGTAAATATGAGAATTAAGAAGGGTGTCTTCTTCTTACCAGATAAAAAATATTCCAAGTAGACTCCGTGCATGCAATTAATTGTACTTTGTACGATGAGATGCTAAGTGCTCAGTCTCTGTTAGTGTTCTCTCTTTATCAGATATCATGACACATATATACAATTTTAAACCAATTGATAGAACATAGAAATTAGGATAGCATATCGTAGAGCATTCATAGATGTGGAATGAACATTTAAGCTAATCTTTACCAGCTTCCTATTTCTTGATTTAGAGTATTGAATCTTGAAACTGCATTGTGCTTTACACATGCATGAAGCAATGACTCTAGTTAAAGCTAATAAAACTGTTACTCTAGTTAAAACTAAATGTTGGAAGTCTTGTTCTTGAATTAGAAAATACTAAAAGTAAATGAGAGTCGAAATTTCTCTCACCTTGCGATACATGCTCTCATAGTAGACCAAAAAAAGTAAGATGTTATAGTAATGAAAGTGCAACCAAACTTACACTACTACAGTTAAAAACAAAGATTAGAAGTTTTGTTTATGAATTAGAAATACTAAAGGTAACTCTTCTTGAAGTCATTAATCTATCAGACAATAAGCTAACAGGAAGTATCTCTACAAGGATAGAGGAGTGTTCTTACTTGAAAGCTTTAGAGTTTGGGAACAATGATCTGTCTGGCTGAGTTCGAAGTTCTTTGGGCCAATTGATCGAGCTTCAGTCATTGCACTTAAATGACAACAAATTGATCCAGATCCAACAAACTAACTTATGTTATGTAGGTATAAGTTTTTATGCTATTGACTTAAATTAAAGATCAATTCATTTAAAAGACAAAAATAAAGAATTGCAAAATCTCTTTGTCCTTAGCTATAGTATATTGATCATTTTCTTTTGCAATACTTATCTATCTGTTTTGGAAAATTGATGTTATTGCTGTAAAGATTTATTATGCATATGAAAACATCCACAGATCACATAAATAAGAGAAAGTAAAATTTAACCAATAGGTAGAGAAGGAAAGTAAATTACAAGTAACATATGCGAGAAGAAACAAATAAGATGTACTCACATACATACTTACGTTCTATTTGAAATTGTTAATTATTGTAGTTTATAAGACCTTTTGAAGTATATTTTAAATATATAGCAAATTAAAGAGGAGAAATAAGAGCAATAGATGAGAATAATTGAAGGCAGTAAACTAAGTACATGGCAACCAAATGCTTTCCCAGCTGTTTCAATATTAGAGGAAAAGATCATGAAAGCAAGCAAAGTTGGCTACGAAAGAAAGCAGGACCTTTTGTTTTCCTATTGTTCATCAAAATTCCCAACAAATAGTAGCTCACGTTCCAGCAAGCAATGTTCACACATAAATTAATAAACAAACCAAATAAAAATTGACTTTATGTAGAAGGTGCTAATTTAGATTAGCAAAGAGAACATTAAAGAACACATAAACCCAACGAATCAAGCCAAAAACGCACCCCCTGTAAGAAAGTTTTGCAAATCTAAGAAGAAACTTCCCACAATATCAATGAAGAGATTGAAAAATCTAAGAAGCAACAGTTGAGATTGAAAAGAAAACCCACAATATTCATGAAAAGAAAAGAGGGGAAATAAGGTGGTGTACCTTTTCCTTCTTGTTGTTGGAAGGAGCAAACCTCTCTGAAATTGGGATGAAATGAGACTGCTGTTTTCCATGGAATATAGAAGTAGGATTTGGAGAACAAAAGATGTGGAAGATTTTAGATCCACCGCATGAATCCTTGGAAACACGCAGCAAGCAAAAACAAAAATTGGAAAAGGGAAATTACATGATTATCCTTACGTCGGAAAAAATAAATTACATGTAACATGTCTCATTTCAGCCTTCAGGCACCTTTCCTATCCATTTGTTTACCTTGCATTAATAGCTCCAAAGTAGTAAGAGAACTCTTCAATGTTAGTGACATCCCCGATATGTTGCCAACACCTTGTTAAAACATGTTGGCCACTTGCCATGTTTAATGCAGTGAGCCTCAAGTCCCATTTCTCACAACAATAGATGGTAGAATAACTATAGAAATCAGAATTTGAAAAGTTCTAACGACATCATAGAAGCATTTGACAACAAAGGGTTATCATCATCCTAGAGTAACCAGTAATCATGTTAGCACAAGTCATATGACTAATATGAAATGCCTAATAAATTTGTGAGATTCAAGAACAGCAAGTTTCAACCTTGAGTTACAGGATGTAGAACACATGAGCTTGTTTGTGCTACCAAGGAACACAGGGCAAACATTCTCCTTTTAGGGGAACCATGTCTATTAGTCAAGCTTCACAACCACTATCGATCTTTTTATAAAAGTGCAAGCAGGGATGGTTGTCAAGCCTCTATGGTAATCTTCGGGCGGAGTGGAAAAAGGGGGAAATTCTCGATAAGGACGACAGGGAAAAAGAGAACAACCATACCTTTCAAGCTAGTACTGTCACGACCCGGGAGCACCCCCAAGTCGTAACAAGGCGTACTCGACCCCGAAAGGCAAATGTTTCATGCAATACCATGAAAGAATTTCTGCTAAACTGAAGAAGCAGATGACTCAACGGGTCTTGGAGAAGAATTTGTAAGATCACAAAACCATCTTTAATATGAATCTCATATTACCAAAAGTACTGAAAATATTCTCATGAATTTCTTTCATACAGTAGAAGAGAATACCTTTGATATGAATCTCATATTTACATCAAATAATGAAGAATTTTCAAAATTAAGTCGAAAAAAAGAACTTGAAATGCACAGATAGAATATCATCTCAAATAACGTAATATATTTGAATATCAAACATATTAATCCAACTTGAAAATTCACTCTTCCTCATAGGTTCCAACCTTCCATTTTTCGGTCATAATTGATTCGTTATCAATACATTCAATTGTCAGTACAGTATTCACTGTAAACAGCCTTTAAGGCAGGGAATAGACTACATGATTCGAGTTCACCTAAACATAAAAATGGCACTGCCTTGTCAATTTAATAATCCTATAAGAAGGTCATTTATATACTAACATATCACACTGCGGAAGAAAAGTTCTTCAACAAATGCCAAACCCATAAAGACGTAGATATACAAATTACAAATAATCTTTGAAATCATGTAGTTATAGCAAAATTTATCTAAGATAACGTAAAGAAAGTGACAGATTATTTTACCTGTAAATCTATAAGATTATTCAACATTGACCAAGTTCTCATCATTAAGTATATAGTACTATGCATGTTGGATGAGCGTGGAAAAATATTAGCATAAGAAGTCGGCAATTAGTAAAATTAAATTACTGAAAAAGTAGAATAAGGTAGTTTCAGACATGTGAAAAATCTGTTGCTATGCATAAGTCAGAAAAATGTAGAAATATGTTTATTGATCTCATCTATCTACCGGATAAAGGAGAGTTGAACATAAGTAGCCATTAAATATAGAACATTACCTCAAGTTTAAAGTTTCTTCTGTACCATTTATTTGACACATTAGGCGAGCATCCTACAATATACAATTCTTATCTAGACAACTTATCTTATGCTAGTTTTGTTGCATGATGTTTAGAAACTGGTCCTTTACATTTGACACACCATCAACTTTGACTTCTTCCATTTTTGATATTATGCCTGTAAAATCATCCTGGTCAGTAGCTTACCATTTTTCACCGTACATCAATCCAACACACCTCTTCACATCGTTCATTTCCTCTTCAATACCATACTGCTAATCGAAATTGTAATACAAAATGCCTAGAAATTACAAATATATATTTAATACCAAATGTCAGCATCAGTTGAATCAATTTACCCACCTCTCTTGACAGTCAAGTAGCGTTCAAATAGACTTCGAGCGCAATACAAGTCAAATGAAACTCATTTGAGAATAACCCACAAAGTTCACACAAAAGATAAGTATTGAATCTCTCAAAACAGAAAATACAACTAATGTGATATTTTAAGCCAGATAAGAAATACCTGAATGTGTAAACATATGGGGAACTGGTGCAACATCTGTAATGTAAACTAATCAGGTTTATCAGAAAATTACAAATTAAAGCCTCTCTCTTTAATAGGATTTGATCGTTTGGTCATCAATTCAGCGTTTTTCATTGCAAGCAACAAAAGATTTTGCAAAAATTTAATAGAGGGAACATGTATTTTGATAAATTTAGCTTCAATGGAACTGTATCAATGACAAATTATTTTGAGAAAAACCAGGTGGACTGACCTCTTTCAACTGTCGACTTTGACTAACTAAGCCTCCAATTCAACAACTAATTTAAGAACTTGCAAACATGTTCTCTTCCAGTTTCCTCTGCCAGAATTCATGGGCGAATTTGGCCTGCGATGTCAAGAAATCCGAAATACCCAATCAACAAGATCTGTTGTAAAGGTTCGAACTTGTAAATGACATGCATGCATATATCTAGCAGAAAGAGTAATAGAACTAAACTGAAGCAAATCAGTCGAGAAAAAATTTAAAAAGGGATGTGTGGGGGGAGGGGCAACGGGAATTACCATATCAAAACGAAAAAAGTTATGGGCACCATCATGAACATACAATAGTTTCGGCTGCATAACTAATTCACAATTTCTTCTATTCAACATAAATGGATCTTCAGCATCTCAAGTAATGGGTAAAACTTAATTCATTGAATAATAAATGGAAACAAACTCCAAAAATCTAATTTGAATAAATAGGCTCAGTTTTGAAACTCATGAATTCAATTGGAGGCATCTCAAACTCCCTTACGAACATTCAATTAAAAAGTTAATCAAAAATTAGAAAATTAAGAAAGATTTTGAGTCGAAATTTCCAACAAAAACTACATCCAGTACAACTAAAATCTTTAAAGGGTAAAATTAGGAATTTTACCAATACCACAAATATTAATAATAAATATTTGATTGTGGTGAAAGATGCCGAAAAAGACTAAAAAACTGACCCGTTTAGATCTTGAAAGAGAGTGAGTTGGGAGAGATTGAGAGCTATAACTCTAAATTGAGAACTTTAGATCACCTTAAACCTTTGAAGCATCTAATAGTTGTTGGGTTTATTGATTTGAAATTTTCTGCATAAATTTTGTTTTAGAGAGATGTGAGGATTGGGAAAGGCAGAGAGGAAGAATGAGAAAGATGAAGCAGAAGGTAAAGAAAGAAAAATGTGGACACAAATATAACACGTGTTTGCCATTTACTTGACTAATTTGAAACCTCTGCAATTGCATTTAAAGTACCTAAATACCCCTCTTTTTAGTACAATTGACCTTGCATTTTGTACAATAGGGTGATGTTGTGTTAGTCCCAAGTCCCAACCCAACTCCCACTTCTAAATAAGAGTAAAATGTATGTGAAACATTTGTTTCTCTGTGCTTACTCACTTATTTTAATTATATATATATCAATATGTAGACCCATATAAATACAGCACCTCAATCCTCTTACCCCCTAACATTATAATAATAATATTAATTCATGCCTAACAATTACACCACCAACCCAAATTCCAATTTTAACATATCATTACTGAATGGTCAACAATGTTTGTCCAAAATCTGCCGTCAACTTTCACGTGGAAGCAATTATTATACATATGTCCTTCAATTTCATTTTATAATATAATAATATATATTCCTATCAACAATCAATATATACAATACAACATTAGAGCTTGTCGAATTCTAATCCTAATTAATTTTTTATTTTTTTTATTTTGTTCTCACTGTGATGATTAGGCGGTAGTGATTATTTCTCTCCTTTAGTTTCTTATATTAAGTCATGTAGGTTGTTACTCATAAGTTTACTTGTTTTTGTTGCATGTGAAATCTATCCATGTCCTCATGAACTCCATCTCCTTCTCGCATTTCCTATGGGGCCTTGGAGGCCCAATACCCTTTTGTTGAGTCGATCGACCTTCAAAATTGAAGAACATATCCTTGACGTGGGCATACAGGTGTTTGGAGTTAATACATGATTGTATACACTAGTATACGTCTAGTGTATACGAAAATGCGAAAATGGGCCTAAAGGCCCCAAATTCAGAGTTGTATTTTGTTATTTTTGGGCCTAAGCCCTTGTTATTTTACTTATTATTATCTTGTTAGAATTTAGGACAGGTGATAAGAATTGGGCCTTTTGGCCCAAAATGAAATTAGGCCCAAGTGCTGGCCCAGGCGGACAGAAAACTAGACTTGGGCCCAAATTTCCTTCTTTATTTTATTATTTCATAATTGTTTATCTGTCAATATTTGCTGCTAAATCTTAAGGTTTTAAAATTCAAATCCCAAAAGATATCCGTTTTGATTTTATAACTTGACTAAATCAATCACCTTTAATAAGACTTAAAGAATAAATTTTGCAAATTATCTCACTTAGATAGTATTTAAGTACTTCTCCTTTTCCCTTTTTAAAATGGTCTTAACTAAAAAATAGTTCAATTTTGCAATTCAAGTTAAGTTAAATTACTTTAACCAAATAATTAATTGCCGGATAATCGCGTATTAGTGGGCATTTCGGGTGCTTTCAAACCCTTCCCGAAATTCTAATTTGAACCTTGAACCCCCTTAATAGTTTTCAATAGATTTACTGTTTTAGTCTTTTGAAAACAATAATTTTCTTAATTTTGCTTTAAAATTAAGTGGCGATTCTAAAATCAGTCTAAATAATATTTTTAAATAAAACAGCCTCCATGATAGAATTGGGTTTAGACTGCACAAAGGAAACGCCAAAATCAAGAGTGACCATGAAAGATGTAGTCAAGAGGCTTAACAAAATCAAGAACGCATTTCAGGAAACATAGAAGTGATCAAAATCTGTTCCGATGGTGTTCTTTTCTGAGCTGCAAGTTAATATGATGCTTTTTTGCTTACCTGATTTGTTTAGTCGATTGTACTACCTGGAGACATGTACTGCTTGTACTTCAGAGTGTTGCATTTCCCTTATTTTGTGATTTCAGATTTAGTAGTACTCTTTAATATGTTTTGAATGCTTGAATAAAATTGCGGAAGTGTTTAGTTGCACTATGTTACTTTCTGTTTCTATTTGCCTCTACTTCATATTTTTGATTCATTAGTTTCTTCCTATTGATATATCAACTAGAGTAGTATTTTATAAAGGGAAAAAGGACAAATGTACCTTTGAACTATCGTAAATGGTATGCAGATACCCTCCGTCATCCTTTTGGGACATTGGTGCCCCTGCTGTCCAAAAACTAGAGCATATATACCCTTTATACTAACGGACATACACGTGTCACAATCTTATCCACCGATCCAACATTTATCGACGTATAAGATTGGACCACGTGTATGTCCGTTAGTATAAAGGGTATATATGCTCTAGTTTTTGGACAGCAGGGGCACCAATGTCCCAAAAGGATGACGGAGGGTATCTGCATACCATTTACGATAGTTCAAAGGTACATTTGTCCTTTTTCCCTTTATAAAATACTACTCTAGTTGATATATCAATAGGAAGAAACTAATGAATCAAAAATATGAAGTAGAGGCAAATAGAAACAGAAAGTAACATAGTGCAACTAAACACTTCCGCAATTTTATTCAAGCATTCAAAACATATTAAAGAGTACTACTAAATCTGAAATCACAAAATAAGGGAAATGCAACACTCTGAAGTACAAGCAGTACATGTCTCCAGGTAGTACAATCGACTAAACAAATCAGGTAAGCAAAAAAGCATCATATTAACTTGCAGCTCAGAAAAGAACACCATCGGAACAGATTTTGATCACTTCTATGTTTCCTGAAATGCGTTCTTGATTTTGTTAAGCCTCTTGACTACATCTTTCATGGTCACTCTTGATTTTGGCGTTTCAAGTAGAGTAATAATAATGTTGGATCTAATAAAATATCAATTACTATTGTATATACTTTTTGTATACAATTTTTTTTTTAATTATTGATTCTGAATATACATGCAACACACGTACTCTAATACTACTAATACAAAGAAGTACTATAAAGAAACAAAATTGAAAAAACTATTATATATTTCCAACCCCTCTGTTTTTCTTTACAATTCTTGATTATTTTTTTTATATAAAAAAAAACTCAAATTTCTTTTATGTTTGTTCTTCTGGCAGTTTACAAACAATTCCAAATTAAATAAAAGAAAATTATACAGAAGTAAAAAATTTGATTACATTGACTAAAGAAAAAGCAAAATAGTAAACTCACAAAACCAAATTGAGTTGAAATCAATAAAAAAAAATTAAAAAACTGATAAGTACTCCTCCATCCTTAATTATGATCTCGAGTTTGTGCCTTGAGAATGGAGTCGACTTAGATAGAAACCTCAAAGTGACTTAAGATAGAAACCTCAAAGTGGTACCTTCTGACGTGAATTTAGATTAGTCGAGTTTTAAAACATGTACCAGACACCGTATGAAAAACCGAAAAAGTGAAGTTGTAACTAGAATGTCCATCTCAAAATCTTGATTCTCAAATCAACCTTACATTTAGCTGTTGTAATTGAAGCCACACTTGGATTTTTCCCTTTAGGTATTGGTCCATTGATACCATCACATGTTACTCTAATCCCCACTTTGTTAGTTTTCAATTTGTCCATTTTCACAACAACTTTTGTATCCAACAAAATCCTCATTGGCATACCACTTTTTCTCTTCATATCTGATTTCAAACTTGAAATAGAATCCACATCAAGAACTTGTGACACCATTGATAATGTTGAATGTATAATTGTAACATTATTTGGTGCACTAGTAAATCTTGGAAAATCCCCATTTGCGAGCTCAATTTGATTGGTTGATTCTGCTTTAAATGCAATTGGATCATAAATGTAAATGACTTTCTTGTTTTTGTTCTTGGTAGACAGAGTTACGTTGAATTTAGTAGCGAGTCTTGTAGTATCATCAGGAGATGTGGTGAGATTGAACTGCGAAATTTTGAGAGAGGATATCGAAAATGAAGGAAGTTGAGGACGATAAAGGGAGTAAAAAATTGTACCAGCAATAGCTACAAGGACAAGAATAACGATGATCATGAGAATAGTCCAACAACAACATCGACAAAAACATCTACGACAATTGCAACCACGGCCACGACGTTTGTGTCGGTAGTTCGGTCGATAAGGGATCCGATTCGGATTGTACGTCTGGCTCTTAGGGTTGTACGTTTGATTTTTCGGTTTGGGGTTCGAGGTGGGGGTGGTGGGGTTTTTAGTGGTGGTGCCATTAGGCTTGGTTGCCATTTTGGTACAAAGTGGAAAATGTAGTATAGTAGATCGATAACGATCAATAATTGAACCTGACTAATTTTCGTAACGTTGATATCATGAAGGAAAAAGAGAGAACAAAATAGATGATGAAAAATATTATTTTGAAAGAGCTTTTTAACAATTGATAAATGGATGTTGGTGGATAATAAATCATAAAACATGGTGAAGTAAAGTGTCAACGTCTTAGTTCTTAGGGTTTTTTCTTGTATTTTGGTTCAAAGTTTTTTTTATTTTTGGTGAGAGACGTGAACTCCATAACCACAAAGGGGACATAGATACAATATAATATAGACACCTCACCAATTAAGTGAGAATATATCCTAGCTGGATTATATTTGAATTTTAGTTTTATATTATAAAACATGCACCTAAAAAAAATACGATTATCGACGGATTTTCTATCAGAAATCTCTATATTCATCGAAAAATCACTATTTTCTAATAATGTTTTTAGATCTTTGTTTTAGAAAATCATATTCATTTTATTTTAATTTTTGTTATACTATTTCTTATTAGTCCGTAGGGTGCAGGGCTCAAATACAACAGTGGCCTAAAGACAAAATTTGAATGGAGGCCTTAAAATTTAATTTTTTTTATAAAGTTTATTATAAGTTAATTCATTTAGTCTTTCTTGAGACATAACATTCTAGGTTTGTTGAACTTCTATTAGTATCTTTTTCTCTAGTATGAAAATTTTATATTTTCAACCAATAATACTTAATATTTTTTTTTTTTTAAAAAAAACTAAAATCTATTATTGCTTAAGAAAACTGAGGCCCCTCAAATTTGGAGGTGTATGACAATTGTCTTTTTTGTTCAGTTGTAGAGCCGTCCCGATTAAATAATCTGTTTCGAAAAAGAAAAACACTTTTATATATTCGATTGTAGTTCTCACTTTAAATTGTACATATTTTTATTGACAAATTTTATAGTCACGAAATATCATGATATATTTAAAATTACAAGTTAAATTTATTTTAAAATTTTATACTAAATTAAATAATATCACATAAATTTAAGCAATGAAGTACTGTCAAATATTTATTTCTTATATTATGCATATTAAAATTCAAACGTCCTTAAATACTCATTACTAAATTCCTAACTTCGTCATTATATAATTGAATTTTGACTTCTTTTGAAGTTCAATTTTTGTCACTAACTTCTTTATTAATATGGCACCAAAAAAAATTATTGTTACAAATTTCAATTTATCTATAAAAACGTTATTATTTTACTGAAAATACATGGAGCATATATTTTGCAGTCTTTGCTATATATTTATAGTTTTTTTTTTCTTTTTTCTTATAGGTGATGTGCAACCCACGTTTCATGAGATTTAAGTTAGAGGTTGACACGTTGGAGTAATAATATAACAAAGTGGTCTTTGGTAAAAAGCGTTTTCTCGGGGAGGGGGGGGGGGGGGGTTAAATACATGGAGCATATATTTTGCAGTCTTTGCTATATATTTATAGTTTTTTTTTTCTTTTTTCTTATAGGTGATGTGCAACCCACGTTTCATGAGATTTAAGTTAGAGGTTGACACGTTGGAGTAATAATATAACAAAGTGGTCTTTGGTAAAAAGCGTTTTCTCGGGGAGGGGGGGGGGGGATGATTTTTTTTTAATGTAAATTTGAGAATATAATTAACAATAAGAAATACATATGTAGATATTAAAATTTTGTGGAATTTACAAGACAAGTTTCAATTTCAGTTAATGTTCTTGGGGCTATTCTACCTTAAATCTTAGGTCATGCTTATATAAAAAAAAAAAATATTATCTTGAAGAGGTATCTTGAATATATTTCACAAATTCATATAATATTCATAAAGAAATCAAGATGTGGTCAACAACTAAATGTTTCAAGAAATCTACAAAACTCAGATCAAATAAATCTCAAGGATGTCCATATCATCTTAGTTCGAGAAAATGGTACTAACGACACTCGAATGACAGAGATCATCAAGAGAGAATAATCAAGGGAGGAATATAGTTCTACTCACTTAATGTTAGAAAATAAATTACATTCTTCCCTACTTTTGAGATTAATAGCGCTCGAATCACGGAGAATTTTCAAAAATAAAATCAAGGGAAGAAATAGATTGCATGGAACTTTACTAGAACTAAGTGTACTTCATATTTTGTAATTTCTTGTGAAATCAAATAAAAGAAAAACTCCACTACATTATCCTCACACTACAATATGATATCAAGTAAAGGAGCATGGATCCTATTAGCTAGGGTACGGTTCAGATGGTTATTTTTTAAAAATTATATCATCCCAATGTTTTGGGTATTTTATAATATATAACTAAAATTAGACTTTTTAAAACCACCCCAATCATATCGATTTCTATTCGAAATCGGTACGGTTTGGTTAATTTTTCATTATTTTTTTTTACTTTTAAAATATCACCTCAAAATATACTATTATTAATATATTTCCTTCACAAATACGTTCTTGAAGAAACACTTTAATTCTTCACAAAAAAGACAAGAATATGTAAAACCTTGTTACCGTATTATTTGATCTTAAATATTTAATAGTAGTGTTTGGATAGGTTTTGTTGTATGGTTTGATAGAGTATCTATTACAGTATCTTTTAATTTTAAACTTAATTAAGTAAAGGCTAATTAAAGAGCAAAGACCCAAAGTCGTCTAGTTGTTAGAGACCTAAGACCTAAGTTATATTCATATTTAAAAAATGTTATAAAATATATTTATATATTAAATTTAACATATTGTTAATATTTAAAATATATTTACATACATGTAAGGTTGTTCGGTTCGGGATTTTTTTGGTTTTTTTCATAAATTAAAAAGACCATCCCAATTGCTCGGGACGGTTATACACTTAAATAAAAGTCCATGGTATTATTAAAATATAGCATAAATCGGTTCGGTTCAATCAAGTTCGGTTGGTTCGGTCGATTTTTCATATTCTTTTGACACCCCTACTATAAGCAAAGTAAATGGAATTTTGGACACTTAAACGCCAGTTGATGGATGCTTGTTATAGATTCAGAAGACTAGAAGTTTGTAGGAAAAATTGAATGGGATGTTTGCTGTCAATAATCTTTCTGCATTTCCTGTATCAATAACTGATCTTTTGGTTATTATGAGCTCACAGCCAGAGAATAATTGGAGGGAATTTAAGAAGTTTTGATGAAATTGTAACACCTTGTTTGAATGGTTGTTACCGTTGTATTGTTAGTTTAAATACAATATTTTGTTTTGATTGTTATTTAAATTTTATTGTATCGTATCGTTTAAATCCACTGTAAGCTAACAATGAAAAGTCATATTTTGTGTAACGACTGATTTGGTGTGATCACGTCATTACCTTGATATTCTCTTCTCATTTCCTCCATCTTACCTTTTAATAGTAGTTATACCATTTACCCTATTTTTCTTGTTGGTTGATCATTCAAATTGCTGATGTGTAACATTATGTAACGATGAAGAACGTTAATATTGTATTCATTAAAAACAATTCAATACATTATGAAACAATACATAACAACCATCAAAACAGAGTGTAACGGAAAAGGAAACGAATGGTACTGTGTCAACTGTTGGAATGCCCAACGAAAAATGAAAGCATGCAAAAGTAGTTCAAGTGTTTTTTGTGATGAAAACGATGAGTTTAGTATTATTGGGGATACAAAACACATTAAGTTTATTTAATTATCCCCTTGATTGGAAAAGCAATAGTCATTAATCTTAATTGATGATTTTTAATGCTCATAAATGAATAATGACCAAAAAAACATGTATAAATAGCCATATGTTGAATTCATATGATCTTCAAGAAATCACACATTGTAGAGAAGCAACAAAACATTTATCACAATGCATATCATGAATAATGACTCTTCTTCTTCTACTAGTGAATGTGCACTACAAGTTGTTGATCTTGCAGTGATAGAACCACAAGGCTCTAATAATGTTCCTGCACCCATTGTTTCATCTTTCAACGATAGAATTCGACCACTCCTCGACTGTGTTGACAAGCTTCGACACCTTAACATAATGCAAGAAGGCATCCAATTGCCTACCATTGTGGTGGTTGGTGATCAATCTTCTGGAAAGTCTAGTGTTCTTGAATCACTTGCCGGAATCAGTCTTCCTAGAGGACAAGGCATTTGCACTAGAGTGCCTCTCATCATGAGGCTCCAAAATCATAATGAGATAGAGTTACACTTGGAGTACAATGGAAAGTTAGTTCCAACCAATGAAGTTCACATTGCGGAGGCAATTGTTCTTGCTACTAATGAGATTGCTGGACATGGTAAAGGAATATCAAACATCCCTTTATCACTCATAGTGAAAAAGAATGGCGTTCCTGACTTGACTATGGTGGATTTGCCTGGAATTACTAGAGTTCCTGTTCATGGGCAACCAGATGATATCTTTGAGCAAATTTCAGATATTATTATGAAATATATAACACCTGAGGAAAGCATAATTTTGAATGTTTTATCAGCTACTGTTGATTTCCCTACTTGTGAGTCTATTCGGATGTCGCAGAAGGTGGACAATGTTGTGCCGTAATTGTCCTATCTTTAGAAAAATCACTTTTTTGAAATGTTCTAAGTATAAAACATTTTAAGAAAAATATTTAGAAAGAGTCGCCACTTAATTTTTTAAAGAAATTAAGAAAACTTATAATTTTCAAAGATTTAAACAGAAAAAATACATTTGAAATACCAAAGAGGGTTCGGGGGTTCAATTTACACTTCAAGAAGGGTTTAAGCATTCGAAGTGTCCGCTAACATGCGGTTGACCTGCGACTTGACTAAAATATATTTGATTATTTTAAAGAAAATAACGATTTAACATAAAAAAATAATAACTTACAATAATTGATTAACTTTAAGAAAATGATTAAATAAATGATGCACTTCTATTTCATTTTATTTTTAGAGAAAAGGGACCTAAAATGAAACATTTGACTCGAAATACAAGTG